GAAATTAACATCTCCTACCCCTAACCCTGCAGGAGACAGGACCTCCAACTCTGTAGAGGCTGCAAGTAAGTTATAGACCTGATCAGAACATGTGGAGATTTAAAGAACTGCCGTGGACATGAGTTCGTTTTAATTTCGAGTTACTGATGCAATAGTAATAGTAATCAAAGTTTAATGTCTTTACATGGGGCATGGTTACCCATCTTACTCGAGCCAGAGGCTCTAGTATGAAACGCAAGACAACAACCCACCATCCCACCCCAGGGGAGGACATCCATCACACAGTAATCTCATACATGGGAAATCAACATCTCCTAACCCTAACCCTGCAGGAGACGGGACCTCCATTTATTCATCCCTATCCGAGAAGACTAGAATATCTAAATCATTTCTTGCAATGCTACTACTGAATTATTTCTTTGGAAAGGTCAGTTAAAACCAGGTGACACAATATGCGGATATACAGTCAACAAGGTATTTTATAATTAAATAACATGGTCAAGTTCAGATGATATACGTAAAAGCTAGAGTTTTCATAAAATTTTTCAAAAGTATAGTGATCAATTAACTACATTATCATAGCATGCATTTACAAACCCATGAAGTTTTTGACAATAATATCACCTGCACCACATCATTACGACCAATTCCGAAGTTTTTTGCATGGTAGAAGCAAATATATTTTTTTGGTTTTTTTGCCATTTTGAAAAGGTGATAAAAAATGAGATAATACAAAACCAAAATAACCTAGTCACCTGCAGAAAGGAGGTCTTCCTTCATGTATTTGTGAAATCATAAGGTATGAAACTGAATAGAAGAAAGGCTTCTCAAGGCCTCTGTGATTACTCAATAACCAGATTTATTACACGACTCGGGCAGTCAGAGGGCCAATAACTAAAATCAACCAATCAAAATGCTCTATTGCCGGTYGAATATTCTCTAAGTATTGGACCGGGCACTGTTCCGAATGGTCCGGAATGATACTGCAATTGTGTCTCTTTGAACTTCAGTTGTATAATAAATCTCCTATTAACCAAGCTTGCTCTGGACTGTACAGGAAGAATATCGGCCCTATGTCTTTTTTGTAGGGACCCCGCTGCGCTCGGTCCGTACTGTCAAGACCTCGGGCCAATATTCTCCCAGTACCGCCCTCACGCTTGTTTAATAAGATATATAGATATTACTGTAACATGTTCTTATTTTTATTTGCCAAGGTTGTGCCAGTACCTGAACTGTTCCTAGTGTCTGTCCAACTGACACACAATAAGACAGGAGCCGAGCATTTACATATTGCAAGAGATGATGCCAATAATGTTTTTGGGTACAAATAATAATCATATATTATAATTAAATAGTATTTTTGAAGTAATAGTTTATTTTTGTATGTTATTTGATAGCAATGTCAGGCTGATCAAAGAGTTAAGTTGCCATTGCTACCTTCCACACAGGGTTTGGTAACTTTGCTTAGCTTTTCAGTTAATTACCTTTCACCATTACCTACACTCTCTTTGCTCAATTAACAAACTCTCAATAGTCCATTGTTGTGTAGTGTAGTGTAGTTCAGTCTCTAGCCCAGCATAGCGTGATACCAGATATTATAAAGACTTTATTCATTTGTCAAAAAGGATTAAGTTCCCATGAAAATATGTTGAAATAAAGTTGCCTTCTGGGGACACTTCGGAGAATAATGTTCCTCTTCATTTCAGTGTTGGATTCAGAACTACTCCTAGGGACAGCACAGGGGTTTCCCATATTCTGGAGCACACAGCTCTGTGTGGCTCACAAAGTTACCCAGTCAGAGATCCATTCTTCAAGATGCTTAACAGATCCCTCTCTACCTTCATGAATGCCTTTACAGGTAATGCTGTGAGTGTTAGAGAGAAAATGTTTAGTTCTAGCTTAAGGATCTGAGTAGATTCCAGTTTCAATGGCTGATGCTCAGACTTTTACCAAATGACTTTCTGTTACTCAGTAATGAGGTAGGTCACTTATTAGGTTGGTGTCTGACTCATGTCCAACACACATTTAGGCTTGAACTGTGGTGTGACAAGTTATCATTTAAAGTAAGACATTATGACTGCATTTTTATGCCTGGGACAAAAAAGATTACTGTCAATTCACTTTACAATTAGGTTCTTTTTGAACACTCTACAGGTATAATGTTAAACTCTCATGTTAGAAATAACTGATGAGTAACATGAAAACCTCTAGCTAGAGAGTTAGAACCTTGGATGTACAGGCATCTCTCTTCCCATAACCAATTGAAACCAATAAATTGATGATTTTAAAAGGTTGTATTGTTATTTGGGAATGCACTGCATATTCCTTCTGGACACTTACGTTTCCAAAAGCCAGACATGTGCAAACTCTATCACAAAGTTAACCTCCTGGCCCTGGTTGTTCAAAGGATGGAAAAGTTCTTATCCGCTGGATAAATCGCTATCCAGCATATAAATTTTATCCATGGTGTCATATCAGATGTTCAAAGTATGGATGGTGCTATCCACTTGCTATCCAGTGGATGAATTTATCCATGGTTAGGTAGGTAGTATAAATTTTTATCCACCAGATTAACACAGTCAAATAAAATGGCTGCTTGACAGTTACATCTTCTTCGCTGTAATCTGCCTGAAAATCAACATCGAAGAAAGAGAAGAATTTATCACTGCCAGCTCGATCTGTAACCAACATATACAGATGCTGAATTGAGATCCAGGTATTGTTTTGGACAAGAGGCAATACAATACATTATTGGCCTTGTTGCCGATGATATCATGACAGTTCTTTTAAAAATTCCAAGCGCATTGACTTTGTTGGTTATTTCCTCCTATATTCGAGTGTTGTTTTTGTTTGAAAATGTCAAGGAAAATTTACTCTTAATAATGTTGATATTTTCTTCTGCCTCTTTGAAAATAACTGCACATTCGGCAGGTGTAAAGTTCGGCTTTCTAGTGCACTTTGCTGAGGAAGGAGCAAAATTTTCTGCCATGTTGTCTCACCACACGTGAGCGAACAGATCACGCAACACCTGGGTTATAACCGTAGCAACTGTCTGGACAGCGAATTATTCATTAGATAGTTATATGCCTTGCTATCCGTGCTTTCTGCGACAACTTTTTATCTGATGGATAACTATCCAGTGGATAGCCTTTTTATCCACCAGATAACCTTAGCCAGTGGATAAATTTATCCATCCTTTGAACAACTGGGGCTGATTGAGACATTGGGGAATTTTGCCTTGTCAATGTAAACTTTTGCTTTCCATGCTAATACTCCACTTCTTAACTGCAGAAATTATTTAAAAGTAGGAGTGGTAATACTGTGATACTTTCAAGATAATACATCCCTTTGAATATACTTCAAATTTTTAAATAATCCTGTGAAATCCTTCCATTCTTTTCAGCTAGTGATTTCACTTTGTACCCTTTCTCAACTCAAAACCCTAAAGACTTTGAGAACCTGCTTTCTGTTTACCTGGATGCAGCCTTCTTTCCATAACTAAGAGAGCAAGATTTCAGGTCAGTTTGACAGAAATGACAGATAAATTGGTTCTTTTAATTTGTACTTCCATAGCTATGGTTTTAAGGTGATGATTGAGTATGGTACATGTGCCAGATTGCACATACACCTGTACATGTACCACCCAACCTTATCCCAGTTCCATAATGTGAAACGATGAGAAGTTGCTACAGTGTACTCCCTTTGGAGGAATTCTGTTGACAACAGCATTGCAATGGGTTTCTATGTAGCCAACTACTAGTCATTTGACGTACACTTTAGTGGAGAGAGACACTGCTGGAACAAAACATCTTGCAAATGACCTTGGCTTGGGCTTAATCTTAGACCTTTTGTTCTGGAGTCCAAACTGTTTGGCCATTATCTGCCATCTGCTTCACTAGGGAAAGTCACCCTTGCTCAAAGTGTGAAATAAATCTACTTGAACATTGTAGAAGGTGTTTCATTCCACTACCTTGATTTTGTGATTAGTGTAATTGAGAGGAAAAAGTTCTGTTGCTTTACCAGGCAAGAAGGTTGGCGGTTAGAGCCTGAAGATTTGGCCAATCCAGATTCACCATTGATTTTCAAGGGAGTGGTCTTCAATGAAATGAAGGGTGCCATGGTAAGAGGGGCTTACATGTGTCCAGTGAGTGATTGATTTGAAAAGGATTGCATGGTTTACCCATATGAATGAGTGAAACAAGAGTAAAAATGATGGGATGATTGACTGGCAGACTGACCGACTCACTAGCTAATTAACTGGCTGAACAACAGACTGTCTAACTGATTCATTGATTGATTGATTGATTGATTGAATGAAACTACAAACCTACAGATGAACTGATAAAAAACAGATAAAGTCTTGTTTGAATGAATGATTGAATAATTAGATAAATGAATAAATAAAATATCCAGAAAGGAGAGCTGCTGTGCAACTTTGCTGTGGAAAGGAATGAAATATTTAAGAAAAAATGTATTTCTTTTTTCTTTAGTCGACACCAGAATCACTATTTGTTCATCATGCCCAGAGCAACTTATTACCCAGTCACACATATAGTAATAATAGTGGAGGGGATCCTCTGTGTATTCCAGACCTCACAGTAAGTATAATTTACAGTGTGCTGTAATTTGCAATGTGTATCACAGTTCTTGACTCTTTTTTGGAACTCACCAACAAAACACTATTATCATCATGTGAACTCAGTCTGTACTTTGTGGAGACTAGTCATTTCTAGTTGGATGGAATGTTGTAATTAGTCAGTTAAATAATGTGTGGGTGTACTACTACATAGCCAGCCTTCTATATAATGACCGTGGTGGAAGCATAGTTGGTGAAAGTATGTTATTCTGTGATGTCTTTTTTTACTTTTTTAGTGGCAACAGTTAAAAGATTTTCATGCCTCACACTATCATCCCAGTAATTCCAGGTACAAAATGTATTTAGTCATATCTAAATGAACTGCAAAACATTTTCCTTCCTCAGTTTTAA